TACTGTGCTTTAGACTAAGGCCTCAGTTAAGGAAGGGATTCTGGGAGAAGATGTGAGCAATTTGCGTTCTCCTTAGCATTTCTTCCTTTTTCTGAACTTAGCCTTAGTGTCACCAGCCATTGACCCTGTTTTGAATGCCTCCCCCCAAGGACATATGCCTCTGAGCAGCTATTCATCCTCTTAGCAGGGGAAACCCGTGAAGGAAAGAATGAAATGAAAAAATGAAAAAATGAAAGACACAGACACGGCGATGGAATGCCATTAAACAAGTTTGCAAACGATGGGCTTTGATCAATTACTGCTTTGAACACTTGAGATTATCGGTAGCTCGTCTTATGAGTGTCATTATTGGGTCGTTGCGTGCAAGCAATTGCAGCATTGCGTCCATGTGTGATAGTTGTTTTTTATAGGTGTGACGTGTGACGACGCCAACGCAAATGTCGCACTTCTCGACCAGAAGCGATTGGTTACAGATCCGATATCTGCTGATGAAAAGAACAGCTTCTTCCCACAAATTTCCTAGGCAAAAACGCAATGCGCTGACCAGATGTGTGTCCCAGCACTGTACGGCCTATCAGGACCCATAAAGTTGCTGTGTTTGTCGTTTAAGTTGTTTAGTTGAATGTAGAACGTTGGCAGATTATGTCATGGGCATGTGTATCACGTTTTGCAAGACCGCGCATTATGCATCAATGTGACGCGCAAGTCACCGGCGGTTTAAAAATAGTCTAGCATCTCAACGTTCATCATTGTCAATACAAACAGTAGTTACTGCCGTTTCCAAGAGAACTGCTACGAAATACTTCATGCTTCGTCAGAAACTTTTATTTTCTACAATTACTTTACAGGAACATTCCACGAATGCTAATTTAGCTACGTCGGTCCCCTACCTAGTCAATCAGCCGCGGCGGCCTACGTAGGTAGAGGGCATACTGCTCAGTCCATCTCACAACGATGAGTCACTTGTTATTTATTACTATGCATAAATGGTAGGTTAAATCGAATGAAGCGATCTGGTTCAATAAAACTGCAGTCAAGTGAATATGCATCCGGGCTCTTGGTGAATCGTGTTGCCGTCCGGTGAACGAGGGACAACCTTTTCTAGCGGAATGCATATGTTTCCATTCGATTTTTTTCCATTCCATTCCATGTTTTCACTCCACATGAATACGTTGAGGAAACACCTTAATTTGATGGAATTCTGCCTATGGTGGGAATAGGACGTGCGTGAATTCCGTACAAGAACCATCTCTTCTATCACTTCCGGACAGTAGCAAGGCTTGGCGCCCTAACGGTGGTTAATAGATTTCCGGGTCCCACATACTCCGGATCAACACGACTCGATATCGTTTCAACATTCCGTCGGAAGAACTTCTTCAGAATGGCGTGTCTGATTTCTCGATGAGCCATCGCGAATATGAATGCGTGAGAGAGTCCCGACAGTGTGGCACAGATGCCGACGAAGAACGCGATCTCATCTAGAATCTGAAATCGAGCAATTCAACAACGCTTTTTCAGCATTCACTCAGCTTTGTCCTTTTCTTGGATGAAGGCTGACTATATGAGCAATAGTGGCAGGTAGCTTATGACATTTATGGGCCATATGTGAACGCAAGACATTGCTCTAACAACCTGCGGCAGCAAAGATTTCGACACATTAAGGCGGTAGTGTAGTAAAGTAAATTGGTAGACACAATCAAAAGTATTGCTCTCGCCTGTATTATTGAAATATAATGTGTATATCACCTATATACAGCTTTAAGGTGTAGAGACAGGGGCAAGTGCAACCATTCAACACGCGCATGTTGCAGGTCAAGCTAAAAGTTGAGCGCCATCAAGACGAACTCATCCAGCGATATACTTAGGATCGATAGCAGAATCAAGAATGCATAAAATGCAAGACATGTGTGCTCCTGACACATTCAACCACGTGTTGAAGAAACAAGGCAGTTAGTACGATCCCACCACTAAGCCCTGCTAACCTGGTTACGGTACAGTTTCGATGTACATTTACTTACTAGATTTTCAAGCTTTGGGTAGAATTGGCAAATTGTTGGTCCCACATCGATACATCTTTTGGATAAGTAATTTCAAAAATTACGAGATCAGCAACTTACTGGTAGAGTTACAATTGTTCCTAGGCCGTTCAAGCATCCTGGTACAACACCCATTAAGGCTGACACGAGCAAAATGTATAGCGAAACACGATTCGCCTAAAAATTGGAGACAATCTTTGTTGCCAAAAGTTTGGAGTCTCCTAACTAGCCGTAGTCACTAACATGAAGAACATACAGCTCCTGAATCCAAAAAATACGAAAAGTACAGGAGGTGTCAGAGTCAAAATAAAGGCAAGCACGAGATTATGTTGTCAAAAACAAATGACGGTAAGGGTAAGTGCAAGCTTTCAAAAAGTGTTAATCGTTCAAATCACAAAGCAGTATGAGGTAAGGATCGAATTCCGTTAATTATTGCGATCATGCTGAGATGCATGTAGGACAACCAAAACGACTCCGACCTCTATCCTTTGCTTTTTTGAAAAAATTTGACTTTCTTAGAGCTGTTCTCTATTTACTTTTGCTCCTTTTGGTTGAGCATTCAGACATTCCAGCCTAATGTGGTGACACGTAGCATTTGAAAGCAATGCAAAAAAGAAATTCTCTCCAGAAAATTTTTGTTCCAGAACCTCCTGAATTTACTACCGGCATATGGACACTCTTCCCCATTTCTTTTGACGACGACTTCATAAAGTTGCTCGACGGTAAACACCGTATTTGTTTATATTTATTTGATGAAGTTTAGGGCACGAGATGTTCAGCGTAGCAGAAAAGATGTCAGTATTGTTGATGATCACTATGTAACAACATTGTTGTCAGTACTGCCAGTCACGAGTCAAATTTGGTCAAAGCCTCGCACCACGTTCAAAACATCGAATTCATGAGAAATCGAACAAGGTCAATCTTCTAGAGATGTGTTACGAAGCACTCAAAAATCGTGAAACTAACTCACACTTTTATCGATCTTACTTCTGTTTTGCCTCTCAATTTCGTCATCTAACGCAGGCAGTTACTGATCCTTTGCACAGCCTGATCATAATAGCCATTGTTAGAAGACACGATAAAAGATTCATCATCATATTTGAAAGGCCCCAATAAGCACGAAAAACCTTGAAAATAATCTATGGATTAGCGATACTGAGATACTCTGCAAATTAACATACATCATTAGTCAAGCAGGCAAATGAACTGCAGTAAGGAAGTGATCGAATAGTTACTGTGAGCTGCAGCACGACCCAATCGACAAATGCTAGAAATATTGCCAACACAAACGCTCCAATAGACCAGCTGCAATTAGTGAATCTGTAATTCGTTCCTGCACTGTTCGAATCTGTCACTTATATATTATAATCGTCTATATAGTTGCGGTCGTGCCTACCAGGTCACAGCTCTATTGCCATATTCTTGTGAGCGGTGCCCTAATTTTCGTACATGGTTGTACGAAAATTAGGTCACCGCTCACAAGAATGCTCATTTATCATCTTTACTATTATTTGCTTCGACACGCATCCGCTGTAACGGGATTTTTTTCAGGAGACTTGTGAACAACATCCTCGCTTGGCATCACTTCCGACGGCGAAAGGTTCTGTTCTAACTACTTTAACTCCTTTATTCGCTTGGAAAATATGGCATGCGCAACAAGAATTTCATTGCAAGAGTCCTGGGACATCAAGCATTCATGGATGATTTTCTGCAATATAACACTTTCTCTTTCAGCTCTACTAGTCTTGGTTCAACAGCGGCCACTTTTCGACGGTAGTATTCGGAAATAACAGAAATTTATAACTCCATCAGCTTGAATTCTTTCTGCTGACTGGTCCTTAGTACACGATCTGTTCATTAGTACATCAATGCACTTCACAGGACGAGATCATTGCATGAATCCTTCTGCTGGGTGAATAGAGCTGTTCACGAAGTTCGGTGAAGGTGCACATGTGGAATGGACTGAAATAGAGGGAGAAATGGAAAACATCATCAACTCTGAAATTTCGAGTACTATTTTTCCGCAGGATTGGCGGTGTTGAGAAGAAGAAGAGACACTGCGCACAGAGAAGTGGGAATAGCTGAGCGAGAAGTGAAGGAAGGCCAAAATCAAGGTCGCTTATGTTAATTACCGCCTCTATCACTTGTCTTCACCTCTTACAAGGCCTGTTGATGTCTCCATTCAATCTCCCATGTCATGTCTCAAATTCTTCCCCGGCAGCCAATCGAGTCCATTTTTCTGCGCTCCCCTGCGCAACCTATGTGCAATTCCCTCAGCGAGCGCAAAGGCTCGTAGAGATGGTGAGATTATCCGAAAAGGTGGCTCTGGATGACAGATTTTATATCGCGACCATGATGTCACCCCGGAATGGAAATTGAGTTTCCTCACTGATCAATAATACTGGAAATCACGTCTATTTGCGATAGCTTTCCTTCCCCATTCCCCCTCCCCTACCCGCAGCTGCACCGCGTGTATTCCAAGTTTGCTCGGAAGGTGACCAAGCACACTCAGTGGCAGATGGGAGTGTTATCACCTATGCTACTGCGAAATAGCAATACCGCAAGTTATGCAGTTCTCCGTTTTCATTACTTAACAGTCTCCAATGAAGCTTAATACATCTTCTGTTGTGGGCCCGATTTTGCGAATCAACGCATCCACAAACATCGACAAACATAAGCCGACAAAGTTAGTGGTTGATGTAACACAAGTATTTTTGTACCTTCTCCTATGTCATGGAAATCTCAAAAATCTCATAGACAGGCCAGGCGACGAACTGTATGGGTTGGGTCTGATGTAAGCACAGTAAAGATGGTGCACATTTGTACGCCCATGGAAGGCTGTACACACACAAAAATTCGCTATTTATCTTTGAAAAAAAGCTCCGAGATTCAAGTTTAGATTACCTCAGTGAAAATATTATAGAACAGAAAATGGTGAAGGTGATTGGTATGTCAGCTGAAGGGTTGGAAAGATTCAACATTGAGAGGTGGAAAAATTTTAGTACACAGTATTAGAAAGTTAACAGTTTTATCAAAGAATGCAATGAGACGAAAAATGGACAGAAGCTTGCAACGGATGAGGGTGAAAGTTCAGCAGTCGATGTGAGCACTGCTAAGTCGGAAACTCCCGATCAACTATATAACTTGAGAGGCAGTATTTACGTTCCGCAAATAGAGGATAGTGGGTAGACTGGAAAAGACAGAAGCGAAAGCGATGATTGACGCGTAGGGTACTCAACGTACGCCTTTGTCATCAAGTTGGACAACTGCCCACGCAATAGCCATCGCTTGATCATACGACTCTCTTGACGACAAAGAAGAGTACGCACTCATTTCTCAGCTTTCTTATCTTGTTTCCCTAATTATTTTCTAGTTCTAGTGCGCTTAGGTGCGAGTGCGGAATTAGCCGAATAGGGAACGTCATATTCAACGTTCTTTGAGTACTTGCACAGGACGACGAGTTGCGTTCATGGCAGGGTTTCACTGTGAATTGTCTGCCAAACAAGGAGGCTTTTCTGGAGAATTCAGGCAGCTATTAGGGGTGTTCAAAAAAAGTAAAGAACGTCAAACTCACTATCGTTTTGACCGCTGATAATAGAGCAGCGGAAAATACAAAGCCAGTACTCGATCGATCGCTATTGCCGTTGTGATAGTACATCCCGATTTCATCAGAGCTGCTGATGGCCCAGCAAGCGGAATGATTACCCATGGATCGTGGTTCAGTGGGACGCCTACAAAATTGACACTTTATTCTTTCATTCTGCAGAACTCTGACTAAAATTTGCTGTCTAACGGAAAGGTCATTAGGCCCTTGCGGCTAAATGAAATGAGGTGCACATTTCTGTACGCAACATGAGACGCTGAACTCAAATCTGCTTTCATTATCTGCTGAACTCTTCTCTGAAAGGAGTTACGGAGGGTTTTTGTTGCCGCCCTTGATTTTCAGTGTCTTGCCTGCAATCACATGTTAGCTCCACTATAGAAGTCGTGAAAGAAGAGCCGAAGCACGAACTTGGCGAACTTCGGTCTTTTCCGTTTTCTTATCAAAGGTCGCCCGGCCCTACATCTACGAAGAGTTTGCAAGCAGATCCTCTTAAGTTTAAGCACTACTTGTCTGTGAGTGCCCATGGTGCCCGTAGTGCAGGTGCTATGCTTTTCCGTGGCAAGTAGGTACGATATTCGTATTCAGGGGATCAAACTACCTCTGCAACGAGTTTTTCGCCAAACCTGAGGATCACGAACTGATTGAGAAAAACGGAGCTCATGTGATCATGGGATCGCCACTCATCATGGGCTTATGGGATCACCACTCCTCAAGCTCCATTTTTTTGGGTTGACCAATCATGGACGACGGGAAAGAGGGAGAGAAGGTGTTGTATTAGGAAATAATGCCTTGCAGATCTTTGGATGATGCAGACGGGCAAGCCAGACACAATTTTTGTCTATTATGAAAAGTGTTTAAAGGTTTATTCTACCCAAGTGCCAGCCTTTTGTAATGGATTGGTGGATCGGTGAGTAAGTGACTGCCCAAATTTTCGAGGTTAGGTCAAAATTTCAGAATTCGCTAGAAGTTTGCCAAAGGGAGAGTCCAACTCCCTGATTACGAATATCATACTTAATTGTAGCAAAGGCAACCCATGCTGGACTAGCGATGTTAGGAATCTTCCTAGCTATCTTACTGCAAACGGCAAAAGAACAAACTCGCCAGGGAGTCGATCCCCTGACCTCTTTTTCGTGAGCCTCGACCACAGCCCCTGCGCTTTTCTGCTTCATAATTCCTTTCAGAGAAGAGTTCAGCAGATAAGGAACACATATTTGAGCTCAGCGTCCCAAGGCGCGTATACACATATACATCTCATTTCAAATGGCCGGGTTGACCAAATGACCTTTCCTGGTAAGTCTAGATACTTGAGCGAATCAACTTTCCTTGCCTTCTTTGGTGAGAGTGTAGAGTGTAACATATTTTACACACTCAATTTTCGCTACTTTTATCAGTCGATGCCGCTCATTCCGCTCATTACCACTTCCTGTCACCTATCATCAACAACTCCTAAAGGGAGAGTCCAATTCCCTGAGGGAGAGTCCTTGATCGTTTGCCAGTGACCTGCCTTGCAAGCAAGTTGGAGATATTTGCGCTCAGACTCCCTTATCATTCTCCCACCCCTCCCCCATGCACCATGTAAGAGCCACAGCATTACTGTGAACGCAAAGGCTAGAATAGAATCGCTCCAAACTGCCCTATTAACCGTTATCGTCTTATCATTATTTGCACTCAGCATCCAAGTACTCATAAGCTCCCCCATACCACGTGCAAGAGCTCTACAGAGTGGGGCATTACTGTGGTGACAAGATTGAAATTTAACAAATACAGTTGCTCTACCGTGAACAGAGATTCTCACAGAGCCATCTGATCAGCCATTGCTTTCTAGCTATAATATAAGAATCATGGTTTCATGATCTTACTTGGTTTATGGCTGCACCTAATTCGAAACCAGTGAGATTTTTATTCTCACGCGCTGCTGAGGGGATTTTTCCGAGACCTGACACATTCAAATCTGGACGCACCACCAGACATGAGTCTTATCGTTAGTTGCAGCATACGTAACTGCCTTCCCAAGTGGTAGAGGTCGCTCGGTTACGGAAGCTAAAGCCTGGTTGTGGATATTTTCAAAAAGCGTATCCAGTACGACCAAGAAGGACCATGATAAAATTAGCCATTAGCCAAATTAGCCAAATTAGCCAGATATCCCGCCAGTTTTACTCCGTTTCGATCTTTTCTTTCGATCCGTAAGCCGCAGTTACTTTGTCATCATATTCATGCCCCACCCTGTACTATCGCCACGAAAGCTGCAACGAAACTTGTTATTCCAATTTGACGCCACTTATCTCTTCTTATCAGTTGCTATCACTTTCTTCACTAACCTTCTTGGTCCCCGCCTCACCCCACATAACATACTTGAGTACAACATGTTATTGTCAATGCGAATGACGTAGCGGACATGGTTGCGTTAGCGTGTCGGCGCTTTTTACCAGCTCTTACCACTTACCAACCTACTTCCGCTCTCTGTTTCCTTCACCATACAATTCTTATGAGTGCAAACTCTCCAATGTCAACGCGAACGGCGTAACGAAATTGGTGACATCAACATTTCGACGTCCGTTATCAGCTCCTATCAGTAGTTATCACTTCCCGCCACCCGTCATCAGTGTTCACCTCCAGCCCCCTATATATCCTAGAAGTTTGAGCGCTTAAAGGGACTGAAGTTATAAATCACCGAAAGACACACACAAACGCTTAACGGATTATATTATACCGGACTGTTCCCCCTCAACCACCGGGGCTATCCATCCCTGCGTGGGCAGTACATCTTCCGCTGTGGTCCCTCTGTGACACCAACACCTCGTGGTAGGTGACGCGTATGCAACAAAAGGAGTTCATGTAGTAGAGGGCATCGCCTTGATCATAACATGACGGTAGAACGAGATATAAATGCTTGCCTGTTGGTGATTTGTTTCCCGAATGTTCTCCCCATCCTCCGCTTCTCCCTCCACTGCCATTCAGCTGGCACTGCAGCACCGTGTGCAATGACAGGATACGTGGTGTTTATAACCGTGGGGGTATTATCACAAGTCATGCCTATTGCAAAACATTGCAAGCCTGCGAGCTACCCAGATTTGTTAGCGGTTTGTTTATCCCATGAGCTTCCTTCTCACTCACTTCATTTTGCGGACGGACACACATACATACATACATACACACATACTCACATACATACAAACCGACACACAAAGTTAGCGGTTTACATAATATTACATATATATATTAATTTTATTTTATACGCATATTGTGGGTGTTCTTTGCTTTAAGTAATGCATTAGGTTGGTAACTTTGAAATGTCGTTTTCCAAAACGATTATTACAAGTATAAAAGCTATATCAAAGCACATCAACCTAATTTATTTCCTTATGTGTGTCATCCACTCTCCACCTTTTGTTACGCAAAGCATGGAGGTCTACCTCGTAGAACTCTTTCAGGTACGACTCGAAGAAGTTAGGTACTCAAATTTTGACGTCGTCGCGGTTATTGAATTTATTTGCTGCTAAGGAGTGTTGTGCTGACCTGGGTCAGTGATAGTTGGACGGCGCCAGTCTGTGCTATATGGCGCGAGAAGGTAGAACGTTCTAGCCCAACTCCCCGATTTTTTGTAGCGTGATTTTCGCGACATGTGGTCCTGCGTTATCGTGCCATAGTTTTATATTGGCCGGATTTGATTACCACTTGACGACGCAGCGCTTGCTCCACGCGGGCTGGCTGTTGTGCGCAAGGTTCAGCTGTAACTGTCTGACCAACAATCAGCACTCCATAGTGGGCCAGTCCTATACTGTTTCATCATGAACAAGCAGGGTTTTTTTTGTGGATGTCCAGTTTCAGAGTCATCAGCTGCCCATCTGCTTCCAACCGCGGCCATCTTCTCACTTTGTTATCGGGGAACATCCTCTGTAAAACACGTTTCAACGAAGTCAGAACCTTCTTCTTCTTGGAGTTATGCAGCAGAGTTCAAGTATTGGCAACCAGTACTGCTTGCTCGTGTCGCTCAGAATAGGCCGAACCCATTTTCTATCCTGAAAGGTTTCACTAGTCGCGCGCAGAAACTTTCAACTTTTAATAATGACACTGTCAAATCTGTGTAGTTTGGGTAGTTTGGTAAGGGCTCAATCCGCTAGCTTTCTTTGGTTCCTCATTTCTACAGGTACAGTCAATATCCATGCTCTTCGCCCTCAGTCCTTTACCTCAGTCTTGGAAGAGCTGAAACCATAGCTGAAAGTGCATCAGAGACTAAGTGTTGCTGCTCAATGTTTTGCACACAATGAGTGGAGATTCGTTGGCCGTTTTTCCTTGCTTGAATATATACGCTCAGACGATGTTTTCTGATCAATCATCTTCGAGCAAAAGTTTTGGCTCGAAGAACATCCGCTCACTGGCGCCTAAGATTTCGCAATATGCGCACTGAATCGCTCTCTCGAATGAATGGTCTCCCATATTACGAGGTTGTGTTTCAGCTGAGAAACAAAGCACAAAAGGAAGCGACATTTAAAAGTTACCAACCTGATAAAACCCTAAATTCCTAGTTGCCCCTTTCATCAGCATTGTCACGCTATAAGGTTTCCGCATTAACAGAATATCAAGCCTGGCGACCTCAGGATTTCACAATTCAATTGCGTGAAATGGCCTTTGAGAAAAGCACATGACAAGGTTTTCCTTCCCCATAAGTTACAGTCAATTACATACAATTTATATGCTGAAATAATGAATCGATTTGTCTGAGTCGCATTTCATTGGAATGCACATGCATTCAATTGTATTTCTAATTCGATTTGAGGACAAAAGCGGAAGAGAAGCGAACCGATTATGTTGTGGACTTGGTGTCTAGTTTGTTACTTATGGGTTTTAATGCACTATTCCCACAATTCTTCGATAGATTCTGCACATCAACATCACTTCACATCACGCGTCTTCTTGTAGCACTCAAGATTGCTACAGCAAGAAAACCAATAGGGAATATTTTGGAAACTTCATCAACAGTTGCTGATGGCATTACCGCGACTTGAATTAACTCGAAACGCCTCCTCGAGCATGACCTAGCAACTGCTCCAAAGAATTCGCAAAC